CACGCTCAAGGTAGATGTAGGTTGAAATGATTGGCCAGTTACAAGTAATATGGCACCTAAAAAACGTTTCAATTTTGCGTCACGACTTTATTTGATTGCGACAGAGTGAGAGAGACTGATACTCAGATAGAGAGAGAGAGAGAGAGAGAGAGAGAAGTGACCAACTATACAAAACCCAACAATCAATAACATTGCCGTTCGATTGGCGCTAGTGGTAACTATTAGATTGCCTTTTAATTTCTATTCTTGTTTTATTTTCTACAATAATCATCACTTCACACTAGCGTAAAATATTTAGCTTATAGTGGATATGAATGAATATTTGACTAATAAAAAAAAACAAGTGTTTTCAACAATTTGATACAAATATTCTCTATATAATCTAAATACCACAAGAACAGATATTTTATAATAGTCGCAGCTTCTATAAGTACAACACTACATAATATGTCAGAAATCTATTTCTTGTTAGAGGGCATAGTTGACAATGGATCCTTTAAATTCCTTTTCCGATTGGTTGGTTACAATGTTATCAAAGACATTTCATGGAATCAGTAATAAGTTGACTGAATATCGCATGAGGAGTAACGTATTTCATATAATTACATGCATTATATTATATTACAATTATATAGTGATCGGTTCTACGATTTACAACGAAAACCAACGTGCCTTGTGCACCGAAATCCAAATCATATGTATTATATGACTCTTATATATTACAAATACAACACGATCCTAAAATAGAAACCGTTTTGTGTACATGTATATGCATATAATATGTTTCTATTTATCTGAAACTCATGATCGGAATAACGATAAACGAATAATATGCTAAAAGGACAAGTCTTCGACGATTTAATCGTTATAATAATAGGTATACCTCCGACGACGACGATAATATGGCACCGGTAAGGAATTCGTAATTGAGGTTTTTTTCTTATTTTATTTTCCACGTCATTGCACACGACAAACCTCGAAAACCAAACAATTGGACACGTGAACAATTTGACCGATTCCCCCTCTACAGACCTGTCAACTGTTAATACCAAGTATGCATAATATTACAAATTTTAGAATGCTGCATTATCAATAATACAAAACGTTGATACTTTTAAATGGTTGTAAAAAATACCTAATAATTATTTTTAAACAACTCATGAACCACATATGATACGTATTATGTTTACACTCGGCCTTTACAGACGCTTGTATAATAGTATATAATACTACATTCATATATCACTTTGCAGCCTGAACTGTTTTTTTTTTTTTTTAGCGATGATTAAAACTAGCCATTTCATTTAAATATTAATTACAAAATGTACGATTATTTGATTACTTATATCCATAAAAACTTCAGTTTTTATTTCGTTTCGTAATGTTATTTTTTTTTTTCTCGTGATGGTAATGGAAAATTATAATGATTCAAACCTTGATTATTAATTACAATCCAAGCACAATTAATTGTTTAATGAACTTGATACATTCAGCAAGAATTGAAGAACGTGTAATTACGACGAAATATAAATAAGATAGCAAGTGTATTGTATTTAGTAGTGATTTAGCCTGCGAGAGGACAATGGAGGCACTGGTTTATACCTACCCCCCTCACTACGGTAACTACAATTTCTTAACATGCAGTAGTTACATTCACATTCATATAAATAGTTTATAATATATGAATTTATAACATAAATATTTAAACATACAAAATAAAGTATATGAATACAAAATTTTCTATTCTTTTCGGATAAATAAAAGAAATCTAGCTTATTTCAATTATGATCTACAAATTATGATATTTGATTTTTCAGGTTTATTCGGTGATCTAAATGTCATATTTACATCTGTTCAAATTCTTTATGTTAAATTTTTATATTTTTGTTGGCTTTATGTTTTACCCTTTTCTATTCATAATAATATTATGATAATTGCCATTTAGCCTACTCATACAACCGGTTGCAGTATAAGAAATATATAATATTACCTATTTAACCATCTGATAGATTATAATATACATGAGAAAGAAAATAACAAAATATTCATTAATATACGATATACGAAATTATTTATTGTTGTAACAAAAAAAGTGTGGTTATATCCACAGTTATAAAACTATAAAATAGTATGATTATAATAGGATTACCACAAATCAATGCATGGATTTCATGTCATATTTAAATCTTGTTATAGATTGTTTAGATTTTGGATAAAATCATTTCCATTAACTTTTAACCAATCATCCGACTTAAGAGGAAGTGTTTTCTTTAATTTTACATTAAAAATAATTATTTTCCTTTCATTTGTTTAAAATTCTAATGTATAAAATATCCTTATTTAAAAATTTGATTTCAAAATAAAAATTAATAGTTGTATAAGTTTATATTTTCATTTCTGATAAAAATTCTTCAATTTTAGTATTTCATATACTTCATGTAATAATTATTATTTTTGTGTTTTTGTGGTAAAAGATAAAATCAATATTCAATAATTATTATCTTATTAATAATATGAATTCATATACAGGTTTTGTATAGACTTTCAAATTTTGATAACTAAAGAATATCCGATTTTTGTGCACTCATCATTTGGAATACTAGAAAATTATGAGTTTTCATCTATTATTATTGATATATGTTTATGCAGTTCAGTGTGTAGGTACGTGATTTATACCAGTTACATCAAATAACATGAAAATCTACCGTGATTTAGTGAAATTTAAAAACTTTTTTAAACATATATAAATTATACAGTAGCAATTAAACTATATAAATGTTTCCTCTTTGTTAGGTTGATAATTTTCAGATCTGAATACACTACTAAAGTATCATGTTTAGTTTGGAGGGTGTTTTTAATGGATACCTATTTATATATTAAAATATGTAAGTGGAATACATATCTTGGTATTTCTTAAGTGCATAAGCACTTAATATTATTAAAAGTAATAATATGAAATATAATTTCTACTTAATGTCTGGTATAAAATCCCGGCTCTATAACATTACAATATGTAATTACCAATAGCTAGTCTAATATAAGTACTACGTTTTAAAATTATGTAGCCAACATGTAATATTAATTCTGCTACATAAACTAGAAAGGAAAGTGGAGCCTTAAAACATGATTACATTATGGTCTATATTTATTCTTTCCTTACCCTAATGAAAGTATAATACATTCAGTAAGATTTGGTCATTGTAGTCACCAACAAATTTATATTAGACAGATGAAAACAAGTAAATAATGTAATATACGAGTATAGATTATATAGGAAACTTTTACGAGATACACGGTTGCAACATCGACAAATAGTTACCGATACCTATTACGTTGAATAAAATTTCATTGGTAACATCAGAGCGTTCTCCTCCCCCGTGTGTTTTTGGATGACGTTCTTGAAAGCCTTATAAAAAACTCAGATACTTTAAATATTACATAAGAATATGCTATATTATAAACGACGTGGCGTCTGTACCGATATCCTATTAACCAACAAAACATATATATATATATTGTACTACATTGTATATAACATCGGGCGCGTTGACTGTACGCGCGAATAGTTTCATAACGCCAAGCTTTCTTCGGACTCATTGGGATTTAAATTTAATCGGGTTATACCGATCATTCCTTGCCCTTGGCATCAATATTCTCTCGTGACATTCATCTGTGCGATATTTATTCAAACCTAACTTATAATGTACGACACAGTTCTGCAGTATTTACTGCACAACATGAGCATGCAAGTCTAACTGGGAACTAAACTTTAAAATATGTACGAATAGATAATAAATATCAACAGAAATATGAAACCGTGGTTATGTGCACATATTTTTCTCAAAAACAATCTCTATGATAAGTAAACCTATAGCTTATTGGTTACAATATGCATTTCATTTGCGTTGTATTTCATCACAACTACCATAATTTTTTCTCAAGGTTAGGTCGGGTTAAAATATTTTTCACACACAAATATAAAATGAAATTTATAATTCGATATATGTGTGTAATGCATATTATGTATTAAAAGTACAAAAAGAAATATTATTTATCAATGGAACGTAAAGATAAACTTTAATAAAGTCATGGATCACAGTTTGATGTTAAATCAAAACCGTTTTAGAAATTTCTATGATTTTCTCAAAGCTTTAGTACCTAATGACCAATATTATCCGAAGTATATCATTCCATTGATTTTCTTATTACTAAGCAAAAAACTATTTCATAATGATTTATGATACTACGATAGTATTATATCATTTAAAATAGTGTTATTTGATGCAATAATTTTGTCTTTTGATAAAAAAAAAAAAAGAAAAAAAACATTAAATATATTATTTTTAATACACCTAATTGTATAATACAGCACTTGAGATTTATCACTGTATAATACCTTAATAATATGTAAATATATTATGTATCATAAAAATAATTGTTATGTATTTTAACAATTGACAAATAATGACAATAATTGACAATAATGTAAAATTACTAATTTAAAAAATTTTAAACTCCTAGCATAAGATTAAGATACAAAAGTACATGTTTGTATAGTTAAGTTAATGCTTAATAGTTAATACTAACAAATTGCCGATCAATTTATAAGTAAAAAGAATCCAAGTTTTGCAATATTTATTTTATATTTTGTAATACATTTAACTAATAATTCGTATAATTAAATTAATAAATCATAACTTTTAATAACTAACAGGATATTTTATTCAATAGTATCTTAATTATTGCTTTTTAAAATAATCTTAAGAAATTTGTCAAAATACTAAAAGTGTACTTGTAAAATGTAATAACAATTTATTTATGCTTAGAGTTGGGAATGGGATAAACTTTTATTAGAAGCTTTTACTAGAATTTCAGAAAGGATTTTTTGTTCTCGTCTACCTAAACAATTTAATGGAATAATATTATTACATATAAATTCATATACAGTTATTAATCATCCCAGATAATTATATTCACAAATGTTTTATTTTATTTTTCAGATCCAGAATACTCTTCCGAACATGTTGGTAAGTCACAAACTTAACTATAATGATCTATAAATAACTAATAAGTTAAAACACATATCGTTTTTTTTTATTTTTTTTATAGTATTTAAATACTTCGACACTTTAATTTCAGTGGTGAATTAAAAAATGTAGTTCTTATAATTTTAAATGATTAAATAATAAATTTAGTTAAAAAATGTATTTCATAGGATAAAGTAGGTATTACATAATTTAAAAAGTAATATAAGTAATTATTCTCTATTGTATAAGTCTGGATTTTACCACAAATTTAAATAAATTGTATTAAGTGTTTATATTAAGGCTATTTTATTAAATTTTATAATAACTGAATTTCTTGTTTAATAAACCAATGTTCATAATTGACACAATAATTAAACAAACATTTTTCATGTACGATTAAGAAAAATTAAACAATATTTCACATTATTATACATTATATTCTAGAGTTGTATTCATAATAGTTTTCGTCTTTAACAGTGTTGAATTAGCTATCTTGAATAAATAAAAGTATTTTAATATCTAACAATAGATATGAATTTACTACTTTAGATATAAATTTTATTTTACTTTAAAATTATTATTCCCGAAATCTACAATTTTAAGTTTTTGTTACGTAAATAAAAAAAAAAATTATCTCCATTCTAATCAGTTTTTCTTAAATCAATGTTTACGTCATATTTTATTTTTAACCATTTATTTTTCTAAACACTATAGCTTTGCCCAAAAGTAAATGATTTATTTTTTTATGTATTCTACGGTTGTCAATATGAAATTGATGAACAAATTTTGGCAGGTATTTCAGTAGACAAATTAGATATAGGATAAATATTGGTATTATAGTTTAGCGAAAAAATTAAGTATCAAACTGTACCTTAGAGAATAATCAAGAAATGTAATTTTACAATTTTAAACTTGGAGAAAAAGATTGTTGAAAACAAGATTGGGCATATTGTCTCATGTGCTGTTAAAATTAATAGTTAATTTATATATTAAAAATGTATACATCGTATCCTCTTCCTTTCTGCTACACTCCAAACCAACAGATGAATAAACTGTACAGTTGAGGCACTCCGGATAGGCAGTGAGAACTACAAAGTATTTGGTTCAGTTATGTATTAAATAAATAAATAAAATGTTTAATAATCGTCAGAAAATGGTATACAAAAAAATATTCTTTGCTTCACTCAGAATCTGAAAACCTTGTTCCCTTTACGTATAAGGTTTTATAATTTATTAAACATCTACATTAAATTAACATTTTTCGAATTAGGATATATTTACCTAGACAATCACATCTATATTGTAATCTAATTATTTTAATTTTAACTGGTGAATTATACACTTTTCATATACATTTGGGAGGAATATTATTTTTATTGTTATGGAATTAAATACTGTGTTTTTTTTTTTAATGGTTTTCTTTTAAACATCGTTGAGTTATGAAAGAACTAATTATTATATAAATATTTATCTACATTATTAATTTTCCTCTAAATATTTATTGATTTTATATAACTTATTGTATTATTATGATTGTAAATACTAAATAATAACATTTAATCTTACATCCATAACGAGTATAACATATAATTGGTACTTACAACAATAACAATAATGAATTACTTTTCAAACCTTATATAAGTATAAACACGACTTAACTGAACTGATTATAAATAGTTTGAATTACTAATCCTGATCTAAAAATGCATCAACATTTTTATATAATAAATAAAATGTATAAATAAAGATATCATCTGAAACTCAATATACATTTGAATTAGTATTTATAAAAATACCATTCTAACAATAATAAGGTTACTGACGTTATAACGATTATTATAAGATCATTTAAATAAATTTGTGTTTACTGCAAAGTAAAATATTATAAAACTTTGTTGAAATCATTGTTTAAAATTTTCTTTTGATCACATCCACGTTTAATACATATGAGATTAAATTTTATTTTTTAAACTTGAAAAACATTTGATTTTAGGTACCTACATAATAAAACAGTAATAAAACCCTGTCGATTTATATTGATAATTTAATAAACTATTATTTTCATCAAACTAAACTATATAATTATATAATAATACGTGCTATTTTAATATAATAACTAATAATAAACAATTTATCTTAAAATAACATTTTGAATATAATGTCTATGATTTTGTTTGTCTTCATTTATTTGTTTGATAATGCTAAAACTAAACTGAGCTATAATGAGTAGATACAACTGTAACAGATGAGTTTATATTGTAAAATGTTTACACAATAACAAAGTTCATAAGTAATAATATATTGACAGCCAAACTTATTCTCTATAACCTTAGAGCATAATTTTACAATATTTATGACTATACATATTAATATATTTTAAATTTCAGCTTTATTTTTGACTTAATTTAAATACTGAACCAATAGTTCAATAACGATTTATTCTTTTACAATATAATTGTTCTAGTTAAAACGATCATTTATCGCAAGAAAATAAAAAATCATTAACTATGATTGATTATTCCAGTCAATCCATATCTATAATGGAACATATTATTAATATAATGTAATTACATATAATTATTATAATAAACCTAATACATAATAAAAAAAGAATAGTTTTCTTTGGAAATAATAAAAGATTACTGAAAATAATATCATATCCTATTTATAAGACAGTAATTAAAACATTTTTCTCTCTCTCTTCAATCTAAATTAAAAATAATTTATTTATATGTTTAAAAAAAAATTTCACTTAAAGCAAAAAATTACTTTGGTTCAATTTTAATTGATAATTTGTTAATTTTCTAATTCTAATATTTGATATAACATTTGATTATCGGATATTAAAAATGAATAACAATAATCTCACATTTTAATTTGTAAGTAAATTAATTGATAAAAATGTAAAAGTAATAATAATGTATTTCTGTAATCAATACAACGTACACTTATTCGTTACCATATGTATGGACTATGGCAAACATATTAATTTATTCATACCATAGTTTATATAATTGTAGAAATGGAGAACTAATTAAATTAGGATGCTATATTTTAAATATCAATGATGTTTATTCAAGAGTACAGTGTTTATAACGAACATAGTAATAACTGATTTTTGTAAAATACAAGTAGTGTAATTTTTATTATTATATAGTAAAATTATTTGTAGTTTTTCAAATATCAAATGAATATCTTGCAAATATTACCAAGTAATATTTTAATTAGAATCTGTTCATTTTTAACAACAAATATAGATATTATTTTATCATTTTCTACAAAACTAAATTTTCAAAATGTATAATTCTATATCAATATATTTTCCCATTTTTACTTGCAACTGACTTTGTAAATCCATTAGATGACAATTAGATCCATTAGATACCTTATAAAACACTGATATTTGCCAAGATTTGTAGTCTTACGTTATAAATAATTGCGTTCATTTAAACTTTCAGACTTTATAGGTCAATTTTTTTAACACGCCTATTCATAATTAATATTTATTATAACCATTAAACTTTTAAATACTATTCATAATGGTATATATGATTATTGCATGCTCTCACACGTGACACAACGGCCACAATACAACTATTTTATATTTCTACTGTTTTTCTTTAATTTATTTATTTAAATATTTTTACTGTTATATCAACAAAAAGAAATTTATTATACACTTCGATATCTTTCGATAACACTTGAAACCAAACATTGATAATTAAACATATTACCAAACTGCCAGTTGGTACACTAAATGTTGTATTAATATACCGTGCAATACTAATAATTAATAATAATAATGATTGCTGGTCTTTATTAATATCGAAATCTTCGGGTTATCTTCACGTTCTTTATAAGAAATAATGATTATAATATAATAATCCATATTGTTTATGAAAATAAAGGTAATCATTAATCATTTTTTTTTAAATATTTAATGATCGCAGATCATTGAATATATGTATTTTTATTATAAATATAAAAACCGAGCTATTAAATAAATTAATGTTTTAATAATTAAAATTATATAGCATTTGAATTTAATTTGAAAGTACAATCATAGTTTAATATATTATATTTATATATGTATTTTTTTAATTATATGCCCCTCACAAAAAACATATAATTTTTCTAACGTACTATATTAGGTTTATTCAAGCAAAAATATATATAAAAATATATATATATATATAAATGACAGTTTTATCTTACACCGGTCACTAGCACATTTGTAAGTATTTGATTCTCTCATATTCAACAGAAAATTACTAAAATATAATTTTATTATTACTTACTTAGTAATTAGCAAATCACGATCTAGTAATTTTGGATTTCTTAAATTGTGAAGTGTAGTTAATTATTTTCGGATTAACCTCACCATATAAAATAATAAATATCACAAAAATATTGTAAAACAACAATCATTGATCAATGTATCAACGTAAAAAATCAATATATAAAATATATATAGATATACATTGACTCATTATTATTGAGTAAAAGTTGATTATTATATTTTTTACATTTTAGAATACATTTAGAAAACTAAATTGTTATTGGTAAAATGCATTTAGTATTTTACGAAAAAAAGCAGAGGTGGTTCAGATACGTGGGTTTAACATATGCCGATTGCTGAATGTAGTAATATTTTGTTTTCTAAAACACATTACCACTATAAATGAAAAATACAAATCAAGGTTTTAGAAGATTTATAATTTTTCTATCGTTTAAATATCTTTTATTTAATAGTATCTTATTGGTACTATCAAATGCGTTATCATATTTGTCTATTTATTTTAATAATTTCAAAGATAAGAAAATGTTTTATATGTATATATTTTTAAATAATAATTTGTAATTAATTACAAACATTTTGAAAACATTTTAAATATATATTAATAAAGTACACAAATCATCTTATATCGTATTAGTATAAATTAAAATTCGTATAGAATAAAAAAGGTGTAGGGATGAGAAGCCCTGAATAACTTGTGTCTGGCAAAACATGTGGACAAAGCGCGCGGGTAGGGAGTCAGAAGAGGAAGTTAGTGACCTGTAGAGAAGAGTCGATGATCCCGTCTGAACCATTCTATACTAACGAAGAAAAAATGCATAAAGAACTTATTTTAGCCCCAAGAAATGTATGTATGTACATATATTTATAAATGTATATTTTTTCGAGGCAAACCACTATAATGTACCACGGTACAGAAAAATTTTTCAGATCCTTTTAGTTAAATGTCTACTTGTTTACATGAAATGAAATACACTTGGTTCTAATATATATCAAATGTTAGATATTTAAAGTATATTGATAAAATTAGTATTTAATAATTCTATTTCAAACGAAAATAAATTGATACTTGGAAGTATTACGTATATTGTTCATATTTCTAGTATATTTCAAGGTGTACACTCAAAGTACGAGTATAAATTTTAACTCTAATAAATGTGAAAATTAACAATTTAATATTATTTATAATAATGCGTGATTTTCGTATAGTTAATTTTATTTTTTTGTTTGTAGATGTTCCGAACGAAGGAGTATATATGGTGTGCGGTGTTCTCATCGCCATGGTACTTGTCGCGGTGATAATAGTTGTATTGGCAGTTACTATAAGGTATGCTTGAAAATTCATACCTATATATTTAATTTAACATTTTGAAAAGTGCTTTGGTCTGCAACGATATGGCGAAAATTATATAGAACAAGGGTTTAGTAATTTAGTGGAGACATGGTTGCGCGGCGCCGGATAAGACCCGTACTGGAGATCCTTGAACCTTAAGATATCACACACATACGCACGGACGCTAACATTCACACACACACACACACACACACACACATGCGCGCGCGCTCACATTCACATACACAAACTGTATTCTTTGTTTCACTAGACGATATACACACTGTGTGTATTACACAGTGTATAACCCAATACGCACCTCAGGGAGCACAAACGAATTTATTTACTATAATATATATTAAATTTGACTGAAAAATTAATATTAATAATTAAAACCTCGAGGTCCTGGAGAATCGGGTCAAATAATTTTCTGTGCATTCTAATGTCAGGGATGTATTGAGTTATCCTAGTGGTATATAAATATATGAACGTTTATAACGAATCGAATTTCATACTATGCAAGTATTAACAGTTAATATGTTGAAAAATTGATGACTATTAAGATGAATAAAAAAAATAATTATTTAATGACTTATAATCAAAAAAAAAAAAAAAATCATAATCTAAATTTTCTAAGAAAAATAATTTTTATTTATTTAACGACAATATTTTTTTCAATTAAAATTTCAAATAGTTAGTCACAAAAATAAACCCGTTATTTTCAGATAACATATTTATTTCTGTAATTTAGGGGTATGGTGTTTTTATTAATTTTCCCGTTTAGTAAGTACATTTTTTTTACCCTCCGTGGTTCCTATAAACTTTTACATAGGTGACATCAATTATTAAAATATTACGCAAGACAGTTAAACTAAAACAATTCTTCGTAATTTATTTTATGTGTATTTAAAGACCATTTAAATTAATTGCTTCGTGATAAAAATAAAATTATATTTGAAATCGTTTTAATTTTTAATTATAATATGAAGGATTTTCTATTTACAGTCTATTATTGATATACAATAATGGCCCTGATTAAGTGACAATAAACTTTATTTGTTATCACATATATCAACATAGGCCTTGAAACTGTAATTTTGAAAATGGATTCTGATCTAATTCTTTATTATTTATGAATGATCACGATATTTTGTTTTTTAGACTTAGTTGGTATACTGTTTACTATTTACCTATATATATATAGACTGTAGAATAAATGTAAAATGTGCATTAAACCAATGTTTTCATTGCATTATAAATGTCACCGTGATTGACGTTTTGGCTTCAGTGTACAATTCACCTTGAAAATATATCACTTTTTTCGATTTACAAACACAATCGCGAACAGACCCAGGATAAATTTTATATCGATTCATTATAAATACATTTTTAGTAAATGTATTATTTTTTAGGGGATATAAAAATTGATTTAAATACTTAAAGGTATACTTTTGTTTTTTACGTTATATGTATTTCTTAGATTAACAACATAATGTGATTGACAATTGTATAAATTACTCGTTCAATGTTATATTTAATAAAAATAATAAATCACTGTAATGTACCAATGTAAAAAATACTGAGTATTGCAATTTTGACTTAGGAGAAATATAATTATATAATATTTTTTTAGCTACTGAACAATAAAAGTACTTCGATTATTCTCTGTTATTAATATATAATTATTCGCATGCTGAGGAGAAATTATATTCTTGTTTGATATCGGTTAGATTTCTCGTCACTATTCACTGGTGGACGATTTCTCTTAATTTAGACAACATTTAAAGTCCTTGGCAATTTGTTATTTGCTTACGGTTAACTAATTTTTTAATAAATCATTTATATTAAATTCCATTTTATTTCATTTTAATAAACATATTTATTCGTTTTATTAAAACAGAAAAATATACTTTCAGAAATTAAAAATATTGAATTTCGATAATTAATTGTTTGTAATATTTAATAATTAAATCAAAACGTATAATTTAAATACAACTGACAAAAATGACTAATAATGTAAGTGTGTATTTTTCAAAATGTGTTTCAAAAGAACGTCAGTTCACACGTGTGCAGACGACCGATTCAAATAAACGGGGGTTGCCTAGGTGAACCATGACGTCATTGCTTTCTGGATGGATCGATTGCTCGGCATGGTTACGTATTTGATCATAACTTTTGGTCGTTAAATTTTGAAAAACCGTGTCTTTTTAAGTTTTTATTTACTAAAATATTCAGTTTAAAAATAAAATAAATTATTAAATCATTTTAACTATCCGTGATAATAATATTAAAATTAAAAAATAATAAACTAAATTTATAAAATCACTCAAATACGGATTTACTTTCTAAAAATAATATTACAACTACAAAAAAAATAGTATGAAATTTTATAAAGTACTTATTGAGCCTGTATAATCAAAGTAAAAGACTAATTGCAATTTACAATGTTTTATCTACTTATATTAAACGTATCTTCATTAATCGGCTGTAGAGAAATATTTAGGTATAAATACAAGAAGCACTGTTTTCCTTTTTGCGGAAGCTTTCACGCAAAAATCGTTTTTAGAATTAATCTTATATAAATATCATATATGATGTATACACTTTTATGTATTTCCAATTTAAATATCATCAAAGCCATTTTTCTTTAAGTTTTCGTAACCAGAGGCGAAATTAACTCATAAACTTCTTTAATAAAAATTGCAATATATTCTTACAAACGGAATATTATTAATTTTAATTCGTAATAGGATTCGGTGATTTATACGTAGAAACAAGGTGCTTATAATATGTTTGTAGACGTGTAGAAACAAACATTCGTGGGCGTTAACCAATTTCCATAAAGTGACATTCAAAAATGAATATCGTCAATGTCAAAAATGACTACAAAACACATATTATATATATATAAATGTGTGTGTGTGTGTGTGTGTTGGTACTTAAATACAAAAACTGCAGAATCTAAAAGATGTGTGCAACGAATCACTATTATCTCGTACAACCCTATTATTATCCAATGATCATTTTATCATTAAACTTTACGTAAATGTTATTATAATTTGTACAAAACACACAAACGTGCGCGTTTGTGTGTGTCTGCGTGAATCAATCACTTAACTCGATCGGTAGTTATGATCACGCGGTAGATACACAGTTGGAGTTTACACACACATGGACGTGTTTTATGTACATTTCGATATAAATATATGCATATTTCGATGTGTATGGTGCGGTAGCGTGAGTGTATTGTTGTATTATTATATATTTCAACTTTGTACCGTGTATACGGTATTTCTAACAAGAGGAGACACGAGACATGAGAAGACACGCCGTCGATCCGCGAGAGTCTGCCACACGTGCGCACACACACGCACACCACGCGCGGAAACGTCGCATTGTAAGGGTCCTCGTGTCACGTGTGTGTATTTATATTGTAATAGAGGACGACGAACCGCTGGCGCCGAGAGAATAAACATTGTCAGACGTGAATTAATTTGCATTTGAAGGGATATCGACCGTCATACGCAGTTATCACAACGTCGACAGTAGCGCGTCAACATTATATTACAAACGGGTCACGGCGGCGTCGTTGGTCCGCGCGCTGCAATTGCGTCGCCAAGCTATGTGCGCTATGTGTGCCGCCGCCCTTGCTCGCCTTCCCTCGATGCTCTTCTTTATGCACTATTTTTCTATTATTATTATTATTATTATTATTATTATTGTTAATTTCTCTCTCTCTCTTTTCGCACGCTCTCTCTCTACTACGCTCGTGCCCTCGTTTTGTCCTCCGCTACAATCAACGAGCCTGCATATGCACGCCAACGTCATTTCAAAGAGAAGAAAAAAAATACCGACCGACCAATATTTAGTATTAGTATAGGTTCGTCTATGGTGTTTTCGCAGCTTACGATCCGGCTCGTCGCGATTACTTATTCGATGTATTATATTTTTTCATGTTAATGACACCGCCATACTGTACACTTAAGTGTTGTGCGTCCAACGCGAAAACTATAATGTTTCGTAAAAATTATTCGGCTTTGCGTGTGTTACTGTATAGGTCTACGTTTTTTTAGAAACGCACACGAAACGATCGAAATCGACTACGCGTGTTTGCATCCAGTTCAATCGATAAGTTCATGTATAAATATGCAGTACTCATCAATTATATATCACGTACACGGTGTCGTAGTTACCGCGAGCTACGTGGACGCCGATCAAAATTAAATAAATATTGTGCATATGTTATACACATTCGACTAAACCCCTCCCCCCCCAAGATACGTACTTGAATGTGTATAAAACTCGGGTGTACCAACAAATCGAATACAATAAGACACATTTAGTGTTGCATTCCATAGAAATGTCTTTTCTTGGAATTATATTGATTTGATCTTAATCTGATATGCTACGAATAATTTTTTTTTTTTTAGCTAAAATTTAGCTAAGCAATTAACAGAAATGATTGTAATAAAATATCAAATATCGATAACTAAAAACCATTACATCGTGTGAACTTTTAAATTTCACTGGAATCGATCCGATAATATGTAACAGTATTTTGCATTGAACCTTCATTTACATTTAAACTATATTGCAAAATAGTTGATAAATAAGATTCTATCTTATTATTTACATGCAGACCATGTTTGTTTATGGTATAATACTTATATCTATTTGGTATCTTATTTCTAAATCTGGTTTTACCAAAAAATTTAATCAATCCAGTAATATTTTATGTACAATAGACGTATAATAAAATACGTATACAAATATTGCGACACAAAATATCTTATTTTATATTTCAGGGCTATTTCGCTGCAGTTTAAACCCAAAACTAGTGTTTACGCCAAAAAAGTCTTTTGGTTACAGTTTATGTTTCATGAGTTTATTCGTTTGCCGCACAGTTTGGCTGTTATGCAGTCAATATTCCGTGTGTGTACCCATTATAGTGCCTAACCTACTCAAATTAGTATATTTATTTTTAAATAGCTGAG